TCAAAGTAACTAGAAGAAAAATTTCATAAATCATGTTTGATACATATCTTTTATGGATAAACTTGGTAGGTTCTCATTTCACTCAAAGATTGCCCATGACCAAAGGGTGTGTCATGACCTTGACCCAAGGTCATTTGGGGAAGTTCAAGGTCACTGGAAGAAAAATTTCATAATTCGTGTTTGATACATATCTTTATTATGGAAAAACCTGCTTCTGGAAAACCCAGCGGGGGGTATTTTGTCCCGTTTGGACAGTTCTAGTTTAATAATAGGTTAATAGTATTTAAGATATAACAATTTTAAATTTGAAAATTTGTATCATTTTTGGAAGTTCCAAAATACCGGGTATTTCAAGAATTTTTTTCATGATGCGGGAAGGATATAAATTATTTTCCCCAACTTTCCAGTGGTCCTAGCTATCACTGAAAGTGGGGGGGGGGGGTATGAATTTGGGTGTGCTTGTCTGTCTGTATTTTGTTTCTGTGCAATTTGTCAAGAACCTCTTGAGGTTTTCCAATAAAATTTTGTGCCTTAAGAAGAACTAAATTGGTTTTGAGGTGGAAAAATGAAGGCTACAAATTCTGTCTGTTTTAACAATATTTTCTTGTGCGATATCTTTTGAGCTTTTGATATGAAATTTTATATTATAACTCCCTCTAACCTAAGTAAGACCCCTATTGATTTTAAGGTCAAAGTTCAAGGTCATAGATTTATACATTCTGTCTGATGTGTGAAAATATAATTGTGATTTTTTAGCTCTACTGGTCAGAGACCAGAAGTGCTTATGCAATAGTGATGTGTCCGTCGTCCACCTGTCTATCTGTAAACAATTTTTCAAAATGCTAATCCTCCTACAGTTTTGGTCTCATTAAGTCATTTCAATATAACGTAGCACATAAGTAGACTACACACTAAGATACATAATTCTACATATCAATTTTGATTTCAATGTCGTTGTGGTTACTAAAAATAGAAATATCTGTGAAATACTTAAAATATGCTACTCCTCCTACAGTTTTGGTCTGATTTCAGTATACTTGGCTCACAAGTAAACTACACCAAGATACATAATTCTATGTACCATTTTTTAATTTTGATGAATGATGTTGCCTTGGTTACTAAAAATAGAATTTTCTGTGAAATATTTATAAAATGCTACTCTCCTTACAATATAAATTAGCACACAAGTAGACTACACTTAGGCAATAAATTCTGTCTATTGGTTTTTGATTTCTATGAACGGTGTTGCCGGAGTTACTAAAAATACAAATTTTTGTGAAATACTTATTTACTGATACTCCTCCTACAGTTTTGGTCTGATTTTATTATAGCTTGGCACATAAGTAGACTACACTAAGATACATAATTCTGTAAAAAAATTATCAAAGCTACTCCTTCAGTTGTAGTCTTATTGCAATCTTGTCACAAAAAAGAGACTTAATCAAGTATCAGTATTTTTTTATTTAATTATTGCTTTTGTAAAGTTTTAAGCTCAAACTGCTACTTTTCTCTTCTTTTATTTTTATAAGTACAAACGTAGAGCTACAGTCTCGACAGGGACTTCTGGTTTGATGTAATCTCTAAGATGTTGTTTTGTAGATGCCTCGTAAGAAGTACTGGAGGAAGAGCACTGCCAAGAAAGAGTTACAGACTGACATGACTGAGGAGACTGGCCTCATGAAAAACAGTAAAACAATGTATGACATTAGAATGACTGAGGAGACTGGCCTCGTGAAAAACAGTAAAACCAATGTTGACCCTGAGGAGCCTGCCCTCAGGTTACAAAAAAAAACAGGAAAACCAAAAAACTTGTGAAATGAATCTGCTCAATGAACTTTGTGAAATGAATCTGGCAAATGAACTATGTGAAACAAATCTGCTGAATGAAATTTGTGAGACAAATATGCTGAATGAAATTTCTGAAACAAATGCTCAGAGTGAACTTTTTGCAAAAGAACTGCTTCATGAATCTGTTGAAATGAATTTGCAAAATGAAATTGCTGAAAAAAGTTTAGTGAACAAAATCTTGACCACTGAATCTTTGCAGACTACGAGTGTGATTTCTGAAAATGACCAGGTATGTACTAGAAAAATAGTATTTGGGACATTCCATCAAGGAGACACTAGATTTTCATCATTCTCGAGAGGTAGTCAGTGCACTTGCAATGCTATTACCATGCTGATAAAATGTTATGAAGGATTTTCATTTACATCAGAATTTATAGATAGAACTTTAGTGTCAGGAGACCAAATTTATGTCAAGACTGTGAAAAGTTTGCAACAAAGGGGAGAGTTTCTCAATAAACTTTTAAATTTTGATGAATTGCCAATAAACATATCAATGGGAGAACATCATCATGTTATTCAAAAATTTGAAACCATTTGGGGACTGGTTATCTTGGATGAACAAAATAGTCAGGTTAAAACATTGCATCAGGCTTTAGAAGAGGCATTTCAAGTTTCAAGATATTTACTGATAATGATAGGAGCCATTTGTTCTGCTGTATATAAAGTGTCAGACAGTGAGTATTACTTCTTTGACTCACATTCTCATGACAGTGATGGCATGTCTTCTTGTGATGGTAAATCTGTACTAGTGCTCAACAGGAGTATTGATGACCTAGTGTCTTATATGTACAGCATGTATAACAGTATGCATATTGATCTTGCAGTGCAGTTTGAAATTTTACCCATCTCAATTGCAACACTGTACCATAACTTTCCAGAAAATGATCCATTACAGAAAAGGTTTTACAGAATGGATGAAAAGCTAACATCAGTGACAAATTCTGTATCACAAGATCATTACAAGAAAACCTATATGAGAGAATACATGAAGAAAAAGAGACAAAATGAACAATTCAAACATGTTGAAAGAAAAAGAGATGCTAACGCAAAGAAAATAAGTCGACGAAGTGTTGAAGTGAGAGAAAAAGAGAGAGTTCTGGATAAAGCTGCAAGAAAATTAAAACGACAAAATTATGATGTTAAAGACCAGGAGAACAAAAGGGAAACAACTGCAAAGAAAATTAAAAGACAGAATGATGAAGTAAGGAATAAAGAGAAAGAACTGGATAAATCTGCCAGAAAATTAAAACGACAAAATGATGCTGTTAAAGACAAGGAGAACAAAAGGGAAACAACTGCAAGGAAAATTAAAAGACAGAATGATGAAGTATGAAGTAAGGAAAAAGAGATAAAACTGCAAGAAAACTGGATAAGAGAAAGCGAAAAAGAACTGGATAAAATTGCAAGAAAATTAAAAAGACAAAATGATGATGTTAAACACAAGGAGAACAAAAGGGAAACGACTGCAAGGAAAATTAAAAGACAGAATGATGAAGTAAGGGAAAAAGAAAAAGACCTGGATAAAACTGCAAGAAAACTAAAACGACAAAATGTTGAATCAAGAGAAAGTGAAAAAGAACTGGATAAAATTGCAAGAAAATTAAAAAGACAAAATGATGATGTTAAACACAAGGAGAACAAAAGGGAAACAACTGCAAGGAAAATTAAAAGACAGAATGAAAGTGAAAAAGAACTGGATAAAACTGCAAGAAAATTAAAACGACAAAATGCTGAAGTGAAAGAGAAAGAAAGAGAAAATGACAAGTCTGCAAGAAAATTGAAAAGATTAAATTTTGAAGTAAAACAGAAAGAAAATGAAGAAAATAGAATTTCAAAAAGCAAGAGTAGGGAAAATCCCCTTGTTCTTCAAAAAGAACGACAAAAGAAGCAAGCTAAACGTAGTGACTTTTATCACAGACAAAATGAGAGGTTGGACAATAAACAAAGGAAACAAGAAAAAAGAAAGAATAAAGAATATTGCAATAGAGAAAATGAAAGAAATAGACAAAGACAGTTTGGAATAAACATACAGGATTGCATTCACAATTTCCATGAGCAGATTAAGCATGGTCCAGTTTTTATATGCTCATGTTGTCATCAAACATGGTTTAAAGAAAGTGTGTTAAAAGTGGAAAACACTAAACTTGATGACACAAGTAAAAGCAGATATCTTACTTGTATTACTTCTGTTGATAATGCAGAATGGATATGCAATACTTGCTACTCTTCAGTGAGAGAAGGAAAAATCCCCAAGCTGTCTGTTCTCAATGGTATGACATGGCCTCCTAAACCAAGAGAATTGGATTTGTTTTCATTAGAAGAGAGACTTATATCACTTCGAATCCCCTTCATGCAAATTAGAGAGTTGCCAAGAGGTGGACAATATTCTGTCAAAGGAAATATTGTGAATGTTCCTGTTGATATTCAGCCTACTGTAAATAGCTTGCCTAGAAAGATGGATGAAAATATCACAATTCCTGTGAAGTTAAAGAAAAAGTTGTCTTACCAAAAATGTGATTATCATGAAAATGTACGACCAACAAAAGTACTGATTGCATTACATTGGCTTTTGAACAACAGTGACTTTTACAAGAATGCAAACATCAATGTTGATGATAGCTGGTTTCAAGAAATCACATCTTCTGCAAATGAAATTGTTCAAGAACTAGTGCAAACACAAGCAAGAAGAGATCAAAGTACTGGTAATCTTGAGACAGATGAAGATGATGATGATGATGAGTATTGTGAAGTAGATGGAGTTGGTAGAGATGGTAATTGTGATACTCTTTTAGATGATGCTTCTCAAGACATGAATCAGATATACACCTTTGCTCCAGGAGAAGGACAACGTCCCCTTAGTTTATATCAAGATCAGACTGCAGAATATTTATCATTTCCTACAATATTTTGTGGAAAGGGAAGATTACAGGAGGATGAAAGACAAGTTCGTGTCTCGTATGCAGATATTGCTAAATGGGAATTGAGAAGTGTTGATAGACGTGCTGCACAGTCTGTTCCAAATTTGTTTTTTAAGCTGAAAAAAATACAAATGAAACAAGTTACAGATAAATGCAACCTGGCTCTTAGGAAATGCAAAACCAAAGGAAAATCTATCACAGCAAATGAAATTAAAAATCCTGAACATGTGAATAGCCTTGTTAGACATGATGAAGGTTTTTTTGTGTTTAGACAGTTACGAAATTCACCTGCATATCTGGAAACAAGAAAAAAGGATGTATTTGCAATGATAAGACAATTGGGTTTACCAACATGGTTTATGTCCCTATCTGCAGCTGATACAAGATGGAATGATCTCATTCGAGCACTTGGAGTGTTAAATGATGGAAAGGAATACACTGATGAAGAAATTGACAGTATGACGTGGTTTGAAAAGTCAAAACTAGTACAAAAGGATCCTATTACATGCACTAGATACTTTGATCATAGGTTCCGTATGTTCATGAATTCAGTGTTGAGAAGTGACCACCATCCAATTGGTGTTGTGAAAGACTTCTTTTATAGAATTGAATTTCAGCAAAGAGGATCACCACATGTTCATATGATTGTTTGGATAGAAAATGCACCAAAGTATCATGAAAATACTGAACAGGAGATAGTGAATTATGTAGATAATTACTTGAAATGTGAAAAGAATGAAGAAGATGATTTGACTGGCTTACAAGTACACAAACATTCACAAACATGTAAAAAGAGAGGTAAAGCTGTATGTAGATTTGGATTTCCCCTTCCTCCTCTTGAAAAGACTTTGATTTTGGAGCCACTTGAATGTGAGGTTGACAAATACAGGAAAATGTATGATGAGATTCAGAAACAGCTAAATGATATGAGAAATGGATGCGATTTGTCCTACAGGGAACTCCTAGGCACTGTTTTAAAGATATCTGAGGAAGATTACATTAAATGCATTAGAAGTTCACTGAGAGGTCCAAAGGTTTTTCTAGAGAGAAAGCCATGTGATATGAGGGTCAACTCTTACAACAGTGTTGTTCTTGATGCTTGGAAAGCTAACATTGATATACAGTATATTTTGGACCCATATGCATGTGCTATGTATATTGTTTCCTATATAAGTAAATCTCAAAGAGGAATGAGTGATTTACTAAACAGAGCAGCAAAAGAAGCTAGAGAAGGAAATCTTGACATCAAAAGACAGGTGCGTCATATTGGAAATCATTTTCTCAATAGTGTAGAAGTTGGAGCACAGGAAGCAGCATATTTAGTGTTACAAATGCCAATGACAAAAGCATCAAGAGATGTTGTTTTTATCAACACCAGTCCATCAGATGACCGAGTAATTCTCATCAAAACAGATGCTGAATTAGAAAAATTGACACCAAATTCTACAGATGTGGAATGTAGCAATGCAATTAAGCGGTATGCAAAACGCCCAAAGCAGCTTGAAAATTGGTGTTTAGCTGATTATGTATCTCAACTAGATGTTGTATTCCCTAAAGATGATGAAAAGGAGGTCATTGAAAAGGAAGTGAATGATGATGATGCTGATAAGAGCAATATGTCAAATGATGAGGAAGATAATGATTCAGATGTTGACTTTAGTGAAAGTGATACACTTGTTACTTTGAGAAACGGCATAAAAATTAGACGACGTAAAGTGCCAAGGGTAATTAGATATGTGCGGTTTAACATCAAAACTGATACAGAAAACTACTACAGAGAAAAACTTATGTTATTTTTGCCTTGGAGAGATGAATCGGTTGATTTAATATCTGGAACTGACACATTTGAAAAGTCATTTAATCTAAGGAAGTCCTTTCTCACACACAAAGTCAAGGAATATGAATACAATGCTGATCAGCTTGATGCAGCTCTGCAAATGGCAAGTGAGGATTTTTCAGAAGCTTATGATGAATTGGCACCAAATGCTCAACAAACAGAAGCAGAGGATGAAAATGAAGGGTCTCATGAATCTGAGAACTTTGTCCCATTTAATCCCGAGAGACCACTTGAACAAAGACAGTATGATATAGGTTCTGATATTGGCATTCCATCAACAAGACAAATAACAGAAGAGAGTTCTGTAAGATTATCAGATAGTGAATACTTAAAACTTTTAGGAAGTCTGAACATAAAGCAGAGGGAATTTTTCAATCATGTCTTGCAATGGGTCAAAACAAAGGGAGAACCTATTTATGCTTTTTTATCTGGGGGTGCTGGTGTTGGCAAGTCTGTTTTGATAAGAGCACTATATCAAGCTCTGCACAGATATCTGTGTTCCACTGAAGGTGAAAATCCAGATGACATAAGAATACTACTTTGTGCTTATACGGGCAAGGCAGCATACAACATTGGAGGTGTAACTATCGCATCTGCTTTTCATCAAAAAATTAATCAAAGTCAACAAAGCTTACACTGTGATGAGTTGAACACTTTTCGTACAAAGTACCAAAACCTGAAAGTAATCATTATTGATGAGATATCAATGGTAGGGAACAGATCATTAGCACTGATTGACAGCCGTCTACAACTTCTCACAGGCGTCAAAAAACCTTTTGGTGGTATAAGTATCATTGCTGTTGGTGATTTTTTCCAACTTAAGCCTGTGATGGACCGTTGGATCTTTCAGGATTTAAATCATGATGCCCAAGCTCTTGCAAACAATCTTTGGAAGGAGCATTTTTCTATTTTTGAGTTGGATGAAATTATGCGCCAGAAAGATGATATTGAGTTTGCTCAACTTCTTAATCGCCTTCGTTACAATGCAATGACAACAGAAGATATGAATGTAATAAAAAGATGCATGATAACAGAAAAGAGTGACAATTATCCACATCATGCTCCCCATCTCTTTACACAAAATTCTAAAGTAGATGCATACAACAATCAGTTGATTGAAAAACTTGAAGGAGAAAAGGTCACAGTGAATTCAGTGGATTCTGTTATTAAAGATTATTCAAAAGAAGTTAAGGAAAAACTGCTTAGATCTCTTCTTAAAGCTGATGATGTCAGCAAAACTGCCAATTTAATGCAAAATCTGATTCTTGCGGTTGGGATGATATATGATATCTCAGTCAATATTGATGTCTCTGATGGTTTGACAAATGGTTCATCATGTAAGGTACAATTGATTGAAAGGAAAATGGAAGGCATATCAAGACCAAGCATTGTTTGGGTGAATTTTTTTGACTCTGCAATTGGAAAAACAACTCGAAGGAAATACAGACATTTATATCATGATGGAATTTCTGAGAACTGGACACCAATTTTTGAAGTTCAACGGTCTTTTCTTTTGAACTACAATACTTTCCAGAGAATTCAATTTCCGCTACGGCCATCTGCAGGGAAAACAATTCACAAAGCCCAAGGTTGCACCGTTGATGAAATTGTAATTGATTTATCTCAAACAAAAGTGAGGAAAATTCCCCACATCCACTATGTAGCACTTAGTCGGGTACGGTCAGTAGATCATTTGCACATTCTAAACTTCAATGAGCAGGCATTGGCTATGGATGAACAAGTTGTAGATGAAATGGAAAGAATGAAAAAAGAGGAACCACTGCAACTTTGTTATGTCCCAATATACCAGGTTGACATAAATTGTTTAAAGATTGCTTTTAACAACTGCAGATCTCTTCATAAACATTTCCCACAAATTCAGTATGAGCCAAACATTCTTGCATCAGATGTAGTTGGATTCTCAGAGACAAGATTAACTAGTGCAGATGTCGAAAATTATCAACTTCAGGGATACACAGCAATATTTAACCATGAGATTTTAGATAGTTCTGATAGACGTCCACATCATGGAACAGCACTGTATGTGAAAGACATTTACAAAACAACTTGCATCTCAAAGGAAAACAGTGGTCCCATGGAGTTCATTAAGGCAAACATACAGTTAAACCAACATAGAGAGGTACAAGTCATAGTTATTTACAAATATCCATCTTGTTCTTTGGAAAATTTTAAACAACATGTTGAAGTGCATATAAAGCCCTTGATTGATAAACAAAAAGACCTGGTATTCTTAGGAGATTTTAATTTTGATTTATATGCTGGACACACAGACTTTCTATCATTTATGGAAAGAGGCTTTAACTGTAAACAAATTGTAAGTAAGACTACTCATGACTCGGGTTCAAAACTTGATTTGATTTTCACAAACATATCCCCATGTGTAACAGATGTGGTTGAAGCCTATTGGTCTGATCATAAAGTAGTGTTTTGTGCATTTGAAATGACTAGTTTGCATTAAATATGATGGGGCACCTAAATATAAACACCGCAGAGGGAGATGCAAAATTGATGCCCCCTCCCTCACCCCATTTGTTCCAGTCATACCCCACAAAGTTTGGGGTATACACTGGAATCACCATGTCCACCTGCTTGTTTGGGTGTGCACTGGTATCATCATGTCCGTTTGTTTATCTATCCGTAGACATTTCTGTCCAGCATTTATTTCTATAAAATATTGTTTGGACATTTTGAAATTGAGAAATTTCATAGGCTTTAATATTCATGTATTTAATACAAACTAATTTACAGCTTGTGACCAGAGATGTGTTTGAGTCTTGATGCTGTACCAATTTCATTTTAAGAATTGTCATGACCAATACATTTTGATACTTTCTTTGTCCTAGTCATGATAATGTTTTTTAATCGGTACAAAGATTGTTATGTTTCATATCATCTTCAACCAATTACATGACTTTTAGCAAGATGACATTTTTTTCTTTTTAAAACTGTTTTGAATGTTCTTTTTAAGTATATAGTTTTCCCATCGGTATATTAGTCCTATATGGCTGCAATACACCAATCATTTGAAAATTTAAAATATTTTTTTTTTACAAAATGTTTAATATTATTATACATATGTATTTGAGATGGAACATTTCAGTTATTATAACCTGACTGTCCTTTGCACTAGTTTTTATTGTATATTTATAGAATTATTGTTAAGAAATCAGAAGAACATATGCATTAGTAATATCTGTCCGTAATCTGTCCATATAAATGCTGTTTGTACATCTGTATTTTTTTCAAAACACTACTCCTCCTATACAAGTTTGATTCATTTCAATAAGACTTGGTAGCAGGTAGACTATGCTATTAAGATACATAATTCTAAATAATATTACTTTTTTAGTTTGACAAATTGAATATCATGGCTACTAAAGGCAGAAATTCCTTAGGTATTTTATTTTCCACAATGACCACTCCCCCTTTGCCTTAATGTGGTTTGAAATGGCTTTTTACATTAATAATCTACAAAAAAGCCTTTATTATATGTAGAGCTTCAGTATTGTCAGAGACTTCTGTTTTTTTTTAAATTTTTTTGAAGGAAAGGTCATGTTCATATGTTGGAAATAAGTTTCCATGTTTGTTTATAATTAGTTTCAATTCTCAGCTTATTTCTGCATATTTCCAATGGTAATATTTGTATTGCTGAATAGCTAGTTCTTTTTAATTGAGAGGTATTCTGATATTTATTTGTCTTTCAGTGACTTCAAAAGATGTAACCAAATTAGAACTTAAGTTAGTGTTTCTTTATGTGGGATAAAAGTTGACATTGCTGTATTTTATTTTTTTTAGTCAGGAGTTTATTGCTTTTCATAAGAAATATGGATTATTTATAAAACATTTTGAGATCCACTTCTTGCAAAATGAATTCCATTTGTGTAAATATCATACTTGTATACTTTAAATTATATATTCAATCATTTATGTGTGTTAATCAATATACTATAATGAATTGTGTTGTATAGTTAGGAGACTTTTACTGGACTTTACATCTGCACAGATTTTGACTCATGGTAGTGATTTGGACTGTGCCATTAGCTGTCATTCTGACACTACTAAAAGATAACCATGATTCTGACATTGCTATTAGCCAGCTGTGGCACTTAATAGCCATGTGATTATGACATTTGTCAGACATATAGCTGCTTAAATGGTCTGTATGTCATTTTATAGAATGTGACTTATAATTTGGGATATCTCTTCATTTATGGACTTTTAACTTATGCTCAGATGTGTTTGAATGTTTATACATGCCATAATGCTAGTCAATTTTTTTTATTAGTATTCTAAAACTGAAATATAAACTATACAAGACATTTTACTTTAATTTCATCTTTTCTTGTACAGTTCAATTTTTTTGTAAAACATGTTTCTTGAAAATAACCAGTGTAATTGAATTACAATACTTATAGTAACACAGCAGATATAATTATTTGGGAAACCTCAGATTCAGTATTCTAAGGAGTTAATTATTGAAAACTTCTGTACATTCTATCATGGATCATGTGGCATTTTGTGATTATGAAGTAAAATGTGAATGCCATTATATGAACTTCATAGTCTAAAAAGTGTCATTAACAGGTAAGTATGGAAAGAGGGGGTCAATGGCCAGCCCGTAAAGGGAGGTAAACCTACCTCTTTTAAGAAATATATTGAGGAAGAATACTATCAAATTTTTCACTACATTTGAATGACAAAATTCTTTCCAATAGAGAAAAAAGTTCTCTTTATTATCCAACAGTATTGCATGAATCTGAGGTTAGACATTTTGAGTTGTGATTGAAAAAAAAATTTCCTTTATTATTCACTCAGATAATCTTTCCCTTTTTCGGTTTTCGTTGGGAAAGGTTATTTATATTGAGTGATGATTATGTTTTTTTATGTAAACAACATATTTAAGACATATGTATATTATGACTGGATTGTTACAATTTGTATGCTGCTTTATTTTTCATAAAACATTCATTTTCATGTTCAATCTTGTTTAAAATTGGTACTGAATACAAGCTCTTGACTTGAAACTAGTAAGACATGTCTTCATTTTTTAAGTGTCAAATTTCATATATATGCTCAGAATGTATCAAAATTGAATTTTTTATTTGTACTAATGTATAACATTTTGACTCTAACTATGAACAAGATTTGTTATAATTTTTGTAATAAAATAAAAGAACTATATGCGGTATTAACCAACATTTGCCCCCCAAAATCAAACTTTGATGGAGTAATATTTAATTAAGTCCTTAAACAGGGGAGTATATGCTGACTTCAAAGCACTGAATAATTTCATAAGTAATGACGTCATATGTACGTAATGACGTCACAAAGATGACGAAAATTTCAGTTTTTTATGAATTTTGCAGAAAAATGTAAAAATTTTAAATAAAAGTCACCGAGCGCATGTGTGTTCAGGATTAATATTTTGATATAATGTGTAGAATGATAATATCAAAATTAACACACATTTTTCTAAAGCTTAAATTGTTGAAATTTTGTCCATTTTGTCCTCTTTCTGAAAAAGGATATAAAATCCTAGTTTGTGACGTCATAAAAACAGAAATTGTGAATACACTGCCCTGGAACTATAATATTTTCTGTTAACTTATATTTCTCGTACAATTTATTGAATTCAGCACATTTCAGGAAGTTTTCAAAATTTGACTTTTGTGGGGGCAAACATATGCAATATACCGCATATAGTTCTTTTAAACACAATCTTAAAATTGCATTTTTTTATTGATGGAAGCAAAAAAAATTGAATAAGATTATAAAATTATTTTATCAAACCTCTTGGACAATCTAAGGAATAGGCCTAGCATGTTAAAAGAGGCTCCTTAAAGCAGTATGAGATGCATGTTTGACATCAAAATTTTTTTTGGGGGGGGGCAATTTTGTGATTAACTAATTTAATGACAGAAAAATAAATCATTAATAAACTTCTGATGTTCATATATTTGCAATGGAAATTTTTTTATTAGCTTTGATTAAAGAAAAATTGAATTATTGTCGTCTTGTACAATAATGATTTGTTATATAAAACTGTATATTCGGTTGTTCAGAAATATTTCCTCTGAACATTTTTAAACTTTACTTTGGGCTTATTTGGTCATAAGTGTTTAAATTACAAAAAAATTAATCATAAAAGCACATTTTACCAGTAAAACAAAATTCTCAAAGATACAGCTCATATTGCTTTAAGTAAACAGTTCATTTAAAAATGAAACATTCCCATCTTGTGTGGATTTCATTAACTTGGTACTAAAGAGGCCACAAATCTATGAGATAAATGTATTTTTGGGAATAAACTAGGGGCTCCATTTTTAATCCTCTAAAAAACAGTTAGGCCAAGGCAACTCAGGTGAGCGTTGTGGCCCATGGGCCACTTGTATTGTATTTATATTTTTGAGTTCTAATTTTTTTTTCCCGCAACTTTAACGTAGCATAGATATTATAAGGCTTAAAGGGAACCTCTGATCTGTGGTTTATTTTTCTGCTATTTTTACATTCTAATTATACATTTCAGGTATGGTGAGTGTTCTTCGGTCGGTTGTTTTTCAAATTCATGCAAGAGATGCTCGAGCTAAACGCAAGGACATTGATATGACTTTATGGGATATTGCCAGAACCCATCACTGTGAAAAATATTTAGAAGACTATCTTCAGAGCATTGAAAATATGACATCTCTGGTATTTATTAATTATTTTAGATTTACATTTTGTAAAAATTTCTTGTTGTTTGGAAACTAGAAACTTCTGAATAGAATATAAAAACCGATTATGGTGCTTCATATTTGTTTAATGAACTTTTTGATGTCAAGGCTAAATAAATCTAAAATGTATATGTGATATGGACACTGGTCCTTAGGAAATGTCGCAACTGCTATATAATCTTTGATGATCAAAATTTTATTTGTAAAACTCTATTTTGAATTTTTACTCATTATTCAATCAATTTTAAATTTTTCCTTTTTATTCAGATATATGCAATATTAATTTTTTATCACTACAATCTTCTGTATTGTCTATCTCCTCACGACCAGAAATGGACCGACATAGTTATGATTGATTGATTGTAAATTGTTTAACGTCCCATTCGAGAATTTTTCACACTTAGGTCTTAGGTTTGACGCAGCACCCCGAACGAGAATCGAACCCGACCTTCCGATCACGAAACGAACGCTCTACCACTAGGCTACCGTGACCAGTCCGACATAGTTATGAAGTTTCTTTTCGGCCTTCATTTGAAGTTCATCCAAAATCTTTTAAATCTCATATAAACGTCTTAAAATTACAATTCAAACAAGGTTATTGAAGGTTCCTTACATAAAAAATGAATTAATAGCTTAAGTCATTTGAAAATCGTTTGCAAGGGTAAGCTTAGAATTTATGAGTTTTTATATTGCCTAACATCTAAATTAAAAGGTTAAACTTTGTAATATTTTCCATCTGTTTTGTAAAAACCTTATTTGTTTTCTATAATTTTCCATTTGCTTTGAATTTTATTTATTTTTATTGTATAATTTTAATCCCATCCCTATTTCATAATTTTCCATTTGCATTCTATAATAGTCCATTTGAATTTGCAATCTATATTTTTCTTTTGCACTGTATATTATTTTATTTGTATTGTAAAATGTTTTATTTGTATTTCGAAGAAATGGAATTTTCCGGCTTAGATATGATCTTTTTTCATCTACTTGTCTCTAGTTCGACTAGATTTATACACGGGGGGGGGGGGGGGTTACCATAACATAAACAAAATACACGAAGAGGAGTTAAGAACACTATGCCATTGTCGTTTACTAATTATTGAAATAGAAATTCATTCAATGAGTACACGAAAATTGAAAGTGACACACAAAGAGATAAGATAGAAGAATGACATTCTATCGATGGACAATTAAATCAACATGTCAGATTCAGCTCTGTTTTAAAAATCACCATTAATCCTTGTCGTGGTCAATGTGAAAATTACTTTTTGGGATTAACTCTGTTTAACGCCCATTGATAATTCCATTAATTCAAAATGGTTCTCGTTGAATATTTTGCTAAAAAATTAAAGGATCAAAATCTTTAATAAAAATTATCCAAAATGCATCAAGAATAATTATAAAACTAAGCAATAAATAAAATTAAAATGAACATTTAAAGTCTTACAATGTAACTTTTCACCACTACACTACCAAGAAACTAAAACTTGACCAATGAATTCCTTGCTAACGAAATAAATAAACAATCATCAGCTACAATACCAATGAAAAATTATACTATACAAATGAAGAATTTTACAATACAAATAGAATTTTTTACAATACAAACGGAAAATTATAAAATACAAAATAAAAATTATATAATACAAATAGAAAATTTTACAATGCAAATAGAAGAATTAAACAATACAAATAGTAAAGATCGAATGTTACAACGTTTGACATGCCATATCATTCGATTTCATAATTATTTGTAGAAAGACACCTTTCAAGGTGGAATAGAGGAGGTAATATCTACACTACAAGAAGCCTTGTTGTCTGTCCTCGTTAAAGGAGAGGGTGGGATATCATTAGACTTAGGACAAACTACAATGAAAGTCAACCGAACACAGCTTGAAGAAGTAAGTTATGGAGTAGAGGATGATATTCCAGTAGAAGAAATGGAGGAAGAAATTGTTTGTGAAGTAAGTTTTTTTTCTCTCGTTTCCATGAAAGACGGGTTGTGATGATATATAAAATGATTATAAAAAATTGTATGTCTGTATATCTGTTTGTTTTCTTTCTGTTTATTTAATTAACTCTGTTATTTAACTCTTTCTACAGGAAGATATAGTCATCATGCACATGCATGCACGTGCAATGCGTAAAATGACAAATTTAGCGTATTTTGAATAACACTTTTTTTAATAAATGCATCGATACTTAGTGTATTAAAATGCATTATGGTGTAGACAGATTGATATAGTCATTACGCACATGCATGCATGTGCGCACGTGTTTAATGCTAACGTGACCAATATACTTGATTTAGCCGTAACTTTTATACTTTTTGATTAAATGCTTTAATTCTTGATACATTAAAATATATTTATAGTGTAGACAAGTTGATTTGTTTATCATGCGTATATATGCATCAACTGCGCGAGCGTGCATTGCTAAAATTTGCAATATATTTGGTTTACTTCGGGACAAAGTTGGTAATGTCTCAAATGCAGAGAGCTTGCCTTATTTAATGATGCTTAAAGGGAATGAATGTTAAAGGGAAAAAGGCACCAAAAGGGACTTGGGGAGCTGTAACGGTTCCCGTTACAATTAGCACTAGTTACGTATAGAATAGACATTAAGAGCGGTGTTCTTTCAACTTTATAAAGCTCTTGAATAATTTTCGTAAGCCGAAATGATTTTCATTTAAACTGATACTTTTGATTGTGATTGCATGCATATTGATCTTTATCAATTTGAATACATGTAAATTTATTTGATTTCCATTATCATAATTAAAGATGAACACTACATACCAGCAATGATTCCCAGAGCAGGAAATCCATCATATGTTTAAATTTCTGTTTTTGAAGTGGAAGTCGTATCGGCACTAATAGTTGATAGTTGGGGGTCTTTCGGAAAAGACCTTTCTAAACCGAATTCTTGTGTCGAAAAACGGATGGGTCAGATATGGATCCCTCAGTGTTGAGTCATTTTCGGTTGTCAAGTTTTAGTTTAATTCTTTGACCGGACTATCGTGAAATGTATTAAAGAGTAAAAATTCTTGAATGAGACACATACATTTAATAAATCTTATTGTATAACAGAGCAAGTTAAGGATTTAAAAAGAAATTTACAAAGTAATAGATTTCTTAAATTTGATTAAAACATACATATTGATGGATATATTTATTTATTTTATAAACTATCTTTGTCGAAGAGTGACAATCATTTTTTTTCTCAATAGGAAATGGAATATGACGGAAACAAAAATCCCTACAAGAGTTCAGATAATGGCGATGTTGTTGATACCCTGGTTAAACAATCACGATGTCATACTAATTACTCTTTACCAATTGTAATCAAATTAAAAGAATCAAAAAAATTCGAACGGATTAGCTCTTTTATTAACCCTGATGATCCTGAGCAAATGATTTATCTAAAACTCAATGCCTCGAAGAAAGCCGTTTTAATTTATTTTTATCCAGCGGATATTGACAAAAAAGTCTTACAAAGACGCAGAAATTCTCTCTACACTTTATATGTGCGACGAGACCAAAGACCCACATCTCGACAAAATCACTTTGTTAAAAAAATAACTATGAATGATTGGTCAGAAGGACTGGGATTCAAATTATTTGTTCACAAAGGGATTTGTGGAGAAGGTTATTGCTTTCTAGGATTAAAACCACGAAACGGTGAGTACTCTTCTGACAAATCACTCTGAAATTTCTTAATACATGTTTATGTATTAGTTGAATTTCATGCTGAGAGAAAGTTTACTAACGCAAATTTGATACCTACATGGTTTTTTTTTTACAGTTTTGATAAAAAAGGAAGTCATTTTTCAAGAACAGACTACTGTCGCAGAGCAAAGTAATTCGACTCTGCAGAACGTGTCCGTTACACTTCTACAGGTGGAATTAAATGCCATAATCACAACAATAGGATGTGCTGCTCAGATAAATAATTCATGGAAAGATGACGCATGCAAAGTAATAAAAATATATTGTTGGGTGTTGAAAAAAAAATAAAAGCAATTTTGAATTCGAAAATCCCTTTTTCAAACAACCAATACCGGTATCATATGTGACTTTTTTTATCATACTTCTTGTCAATTGATGATGACTACATGGCAAGGGGGGGGGGGGCTTAAATATAGCTCAAATACAATTTCATTATTTGTCGATTGTTATATATATTGCCTCTTAAGTATTCAATGATTTAAATTAAAAGTAACAAGTCAAATTTGTATTGAAAGGAAATATTTAAAAACTTGTAAGAGGATTCTTGCCTAAATACATCGCCACTTTAAAATTTCTTCCGTAAATAGCCTCTACCAATGTCAAACATACACGAAGTACGATGTAGATGTCCAGATATACCATCAAGCCAAAGAGATGTCGTCTACGGTTCGTCATTTCTGGCTGTCAACAGCATTGACTTCGATGCAGCATTCAATAACTTTGACGTAGGCAATGCAGCGGTATATGGGACAATCATAGCAATCCTTGTCCTTTACTGTCTTTTAGTTTTATTTCTGAGACGAAAAGACACCGAGGATAGGGAAAAGGTGATCTTTGTTAACTTAAGTAGTTAATATTTTTAGATAGCTAATGCCTAGAATAACAAAAGCTGTGTGCAAAAACTGACTAGAAAGTTAAAACTGTATTAACTAGAGAAACAAAACTGCACAATAGGTCTTGTTAACTTTTTTTTTTAAATAATGTGCTTAATCCTGACGAACAAATTAAATGAAGATTGTTGCTCATGAAATAAAAACGGAAAAAATCTAGTTTCTGTCTCTTGGATTAAAGAGCGATTTACCTTTTTAGTGGACGCTGGGCATCCTATGTGACAATAGCAAAGATGATGACTATTTCTACCTAGTTACTGTTGTCACCGGTTTGAGAGCAGGTGCGGGTACTCAGTCCATAGTTAACTTTATCCTGTACGGCGAGCTAGGAGAGAGCGGGGTTCGTATTCTGAGTGATGATCTGCAAAAGGTGAGAGTATTTTTAAACGACAAAACATGTGTCACCTGAATTTTACTTGTTAGTGAAATGTTTTTCTTACATTTTTATCTCTGTTTGGTTTATTCGTGATTTTCAACATTCTAACATCCTAATTTTATTGGAAACATCGACAAGGATTGTTTTCAATTTTTTTAAGTTTGACAAAAAATTATGATTATTTATTTGAGGCTGCAAATAACACATTTTGGCATATTTTATCACAGAAAAGAAGTATATTTTGTGAAATTGAATTGTTCTCATGGACTGGCATTTTAAGAATACCTAGCAAACATTTAATCAAATAGGAAACATATTTTCTTTTAAGGGCTTTGCAACGGGAAGTATCAATCGATTTATCATGTCAAGCCCGAAATATCTTGGAAGGTTGTTAGACTTGTGGATATGGCACGATTTCTCGGGGATTGGACGGGAGCAAAGTTGGTATTTGACGAGTGTTACCTTTGATGATTTGAAGACTAGAGATAGGTGACAAACGGCTTTTTAACATTCTTATTATCCAGAATTTCGCATTTATGCATAATTGTTCACTTTCGTGATATTATTGTTTTTCATTTGATAGGTATGTTTTTCAGTGCGATACTTGGTTAGCATTAGACAAGGTAAACGGACTTACCGATTGCTTGGCAAGCGCTACTGATATGCATGACTCGAAAGTTTTGTTTTCTAATCAACTTTTTCACAATATCACTGAGAATAATTTGTGGTTTTCCATAGTTTTTCGTCCTGAACAGAGTTCGTTCACTCGTGTACAACGTTTGTCATGTATACTAGCGTTTCTGTTTTTGGCAATGCTTGCGAATGCCATGTTTTACGAGGCACCGGGTACAGAAAAAGAAGAGATCTTGAAAATTGGAATCATCTCATTTTCTCTAACAACATTATTTACATCACTAAAATCCGCTGCCATTACAACTCCGCCAATCATCTTCGTGACACTAATTTTCCAACACACGAGAGAAAAAACAGCTGAAACAAAAGAAAAAAACTGCGTCGAACTTACACGAACAAGTAGAAAACGTCTACCACACTGGATGCGTTACCTTGCATGTGGGATAATAGCATCAGCAATTGCATCTTCATCTTTTTTGTTGCTTATGTACAGTATGCAGTGGGGTAGATCAAAATCGCAAGAGTGGCTTTCTTCGTTCATGTTCTCATTTCTTGCGTCCGCCACGTGTTTTGATCCTTTAAAGGTACGAGTAACATTGTAAGTCTTTGGTTATCAAACTTATCCCAGGTAAATTGTTTTCTGAAATGAAGAGGCAGATTATACATTTGAATTTGCAATAGAGATATTGTATATCTATCATAATGATTTGATTTTTTACAGGTGCTTCTTTTCGCTGCTGTATTTTCATTTATTATGAAACACCCTGCAACTAACAGAAGTGTTGAATTTGATGAAAAACTTTTGAAGAAATACTGTACGTTCCATTCGAGCAAGAAATCTAAACAATATGCTGGTAAGATGTTCAATTTCAAAGTATGTGTCTCGTTCCAAGGGGTACGAACGTTATTAATGTATTTTTATTGTAACAAGACAATTCTTTAAGTACTAATATTTTTTAATCTACTTTGAAAAAGCTTAATTAACATTGGTTTGAGCTGCAAAACCCTAAGGCATTTTGTTTTACAAACAAATTTGTAATATCGATTTTTTTTAGAAATGAAGTTGCAATATTACTGAAATTTAGAATATTGTATTTTTTCGTACACTGTTGTTTGTTCCACTAAAGCGAGATAAGATACAATCGATATTTATATAATTCTCTTGTCGAAAATAAATATGCATAACACTATCTTCTTGATATAATTTTAGAACTTGTTGGATCAGTGTTCCATAAAATGAAACCATTCAGCGATTCAAAATTTCTGGATATGCGTAAAAGACAACAAGAAGCAGCTGCAGCAAAAAGCAGTTTCCGAGATCTTATGGTTTCCCTCATATTAGCTGGGAGTGTTGTGGCTATAGGATTCACTGAGTTTGATGTCAGTGCTTATTACCTTCAAAACAATATCAGAAACTACCTTGTAAGCGATGGATATGGCCAGTTTGGATTTTCAGCGGTTGGTATTATCTCTCAGTGATTGAAAAGGGAAGAATAGGGAAAATACATAGTGATGTCGATAATTAATTTTAGGGAGAACAATTAGGTCATTTTGGCATTACATTCTCATGATTTCTATCATACTTATGATTTCACCATAAAGTCTGTTTCAAGTATTTCTTATTTTTAATTATAACTTTGTTCTTTTTGCTTAGGTTAATGACTCTGATGGTTTTTATAAATGGATGAACGATACGTTTATTCCTGCATGTTACCCTTTGCAGACATACAACGAAGTAAACCTAGATATTTTAGGAAAACAAATGTTTGGCGATTTGGCAAGCATAAGAGTTGGTCCTGCTCGCATAAGGCAGGTTCGAATGCCGGAACGTATGTGTATTTCTAGTATTTTTAGCTCACCTGAGCTGATCAAAATTTGTCCGTTGTCTGTCGTCGTCGTTAGCGTCGTTGTAAACTTTTCACATTTTCATCTTCTTCTCAAGAACCACTGAACCAAATTCAATCAAACTTGTCACGAAGTATCCTTGGGTGAAGGTAATTTAAGTTTGTTCGAATGAAGGGCCATGCCCTCTTCCAAGGGGAGATAATTATGAATTAGTGAAAAATTAATGGCATGTTTTAAAAATCTTCTTCTCAAGAACCACCGGGCCAGGAAAGATGAATCTCTTGTGGAAGCATCCTCAGGTATTGCAAATTCAAGTTTGTTCAAATCATGACCTCCAGGGGTAGGGTGGGCCACAATGGGGGGTCAAAGTTTAACTTAGGAATATATAGGGGAAGTCTTTAAAAATCTTCTTCTCAAGAACCACTAGGCCAGGAAAGTTGAAACACATGTGGAAGCATCCTCTGGTAGTGTAGATTTAAATTTATTCAAATCATGACCCCTAGGGTGCGTTCAACAGCGTAGCTGCTACATAGCCGCTACGTAAAGCTACGCTCTTGAACGGAGAGCTAACCTAGCAGCTACGTATGGAGAGCTAGCATAAAAGTTTAATGCTACGTCCCAAATCCAAGATGGTTTCCTTGGTTACAAATT